CTATATTTAAAGGAGACAACAGCAGCATCTCGCTTCAGCAGCAGCCCACCTGCTTCACCAGCCGGTTGCTTCAGGAGGACCATGGGGAAAAGGCCAGTTTTTTGCTAGTTTTTGACGGGCGTTCGCCACTCCAAGGAGTTCGTTCTTGAGAACAAAGGCGGCTTTCTACAACGTCTGCTGCTCTAGAGCCAAGCTGAGGAGGTTGAGACAGCAATTATCAGAAATCAACATTCTATTGCATGCTGTAGCCCCTTTTTTGCCAGGGGCAGCTCAGTGGCGACACCATCACTTACACCAGCATCAGATTGGCTATTTCAAGGGACACTGCGATGTGTTGAGGAGCTCTCCACAGCTAACGGCAAGCGGTCGCCACCTATGCTGCACCAGAAGTGGAGGCAGTGCAACTACAGCCTCGATCGACATTATTTTTGACCTCAATGCAGCACACCTGAGGGATGAGAACCGTACACACATGCAGCAGAGATTCTCAAATTGCACCCGTAATATTGTGTAAGGATTGGTGAGGACACGATGAGGTACTGCGATTATTGGTGTTTCTCGAGTTTGAGGGACCTTTGGAGAAAGTAAGCCATACTCGAGTTGGTGGAAAATGAGAGCCACCGTCTCGACTGTTCGCCTGGTGAGAAGTAGTGCACAAATGGTGAGTATGTACAAGGAGTGCAGAATAAATAGGAAGTGATCCGCTCCGCATGGCACAAGCTGGAGTTGCTTGGGCATGTGGCCAGCTGCCCCGCATCTCTTGAGGCCTGGGGCAATCAGTGCCTGTCTTTTCTTTTTGACCATTCTGTAGGGTTCCCTGAACCGAGCAGACAGCAACTGCAGCTCCCACGACGGGAGTCATTCAGACCCCCTGCACTACTTCGGGTTAAGTTCTTTTGTGCCATCATACGAAAGATCCTCGAAGATGAAGCAGGACCTAAAGGTCTTCTTGAGCGTCCGCCGTTTCTTAACTGCAAAATGAATCCGGGCCGGAAGTAGTAACAGTGTAGTGACGCTACGCTACTGATTTGAAGGTACAGGCAGAATGTCGTGCATGCATAGTGTACCGCTACGATGAGGCCGTTCATGCCGATGCCCCGGTGTTTACGAATGTTCGAATGGAACTGATTCTTGCTGTTAGTCGTGATGTAGCAAACAGCAAACCGAACACCAAATTCACACCTAAACTTCGGCTCGCTGCCCTATCTGGAAGCCTTACGAATGCCTAGACGGCTGGGGCGAAGCACTAGTAATCAGTTGTCCGATGCCTCCTACCGGCTACATGTCTGAACAGTGAACATCTGAAAAATGCCCCATTAAAACCTTTGAGATACCTGCAACTGAGTGGCCTGCCTGTCTATTGGCGTCTACTACCGAGCCTCCTGCTGTGCGGTTCACGTTATGCATCATAATCTGGAATGCATTCAGGTAAATGGACAAGTGGGTCCTCGGGGTTCTGCTGCGCTTGCAGTCTGCAAACGGCCACTGGTGGCGGAGGCCTACACCCATTATCTGTTCAAGTGCCAAACTCAAGTGCATGGCCTCCACCAGGAGAAAAAAAAAGTAAAAAAGAAAAACCAGTTCACTTGGTTGGCATATGCCAAAATTGACTTCACGATATGCAGACCTCAGCCTCCTTGCACACACATTAGCTCTCAGCGTTACCGGTACCTTTACAGGCAAAGTTACCTTGAAGGTGCTTCTGTGCTAGACAAGCCGCTCTCTGCGACAGAGGGGAGATTCGCAGGCACCTTTCGTAGCCTGTCCAGCGCACCCCTAACTACAATTTGCGTTTACACGCTTAACTCCAATACGGAGGTTTTATCTGTCCAAGCCACGAAAGCCTTCGCGAAAATGCCCATTGATCAATGGGCGGCCCCATATGCCATTTAGTAACTCCAATAACTGCAGAATAGTCGGCACAAAGAGGCACAGCCATATATATGGGAAATACATTCCTCACATACGCTGAAAGTCCAGAGTGTACATATATTAAACGCATGCCTGTAACCAACTGGATAAGTTGGTTCGTGCTACTTGGTTTGTGCAGATGCGACATTCACGACAAAAAAGAGCGGTTTTCCCTCAGGCCGCTTCTGGCAACAGCTGCAGCAAAGTTATTTAAGTGTGAAGTTGAGACAACTGACCACGCGCAATCGGATGTTTCTCGCGTCTGCCATCGTATAATTAGGCTGTCGGCCCTCTGCTATGCAGAGGATGTTCTCCATACAAAAAGGGCCACAAGCATTAGAAAGGCCCTCCTGAGACAGAGTCAACGCTCAGCAACATAGCTCAAAATGAAGAATTCCACATAATCCTCATTCTATATCAACCGCCGAAAGGTTGTGGTGCACTCATCTAGGCCACGTACCCGTATTCCTGGCAAAAGAGATAACCCCGGTAAGGCTTCAAGTTGCATGGGAAATCCTGGCTGAAAATACACAACAGTCCCGCAAGTTCACATACAAAATACGCATCATGCACTGTCTGTGTGGCTCCAATTACTATCGTCTAGCATGATAAAGGTACGAGAAGTATTAGCTTACCTCCGGCACATGGGGGGAGGCTTCATACAGCGGAACAGGCCCAGCTGAACGTCACAGGTGACGAACGCACACACAAGGGCATGCAAATAGTTGGAAACGGGCCTAAAAAGGGAATGGTAGCGTCCACACACCAAATCGAAGCAACGGCGCCAGCAAGGAGCAATATAAGTACTCGCAAGCGCCACCTTTCATTGTGACACTGCTCGTAAAGGCAAGGTGAACGGGAGGTGCCGCACCGGCTGGATCGTGCAGCTGCTGCGCAACAAGTTTGATGAAGTTCAAGATCGGCTCGTAAAATGATGGAGGGTGGGGGAGACTATCGACGACGGAGACACGATGCTCCCTGAGACCCAAACACAGGAGACAACGCAATCTAGAAAGTGTCAACACTACAGCTGCTGCGTACGTCACGTCCACACAGAATGCTACACTCCAGCCGGCTTCTCGAAAGCAAAATTCCGCATGCACAAAAGGGCATATCTCTTCCAGCACGCTGGCATGCCGGTGAAGCTAGCCACTCTCGGTTCGTTATCTTCCACAAGTACTAGGCATAAATGAAGCTCGTATGTCTGTGTGCAATCCAACAAGGTGAGAGAGGCTCAACACAAGCAGGATGCTCACTTTCGATTGATAACAGCAACGATAAAGTGCCCGGAAGTGCCGTGGGGATGGCCCTCCTCCCAATCCAGCAGAGGAGCGGTCATTGCAAAAAGCACCCTGTCAGCAGTTAAAGAGCGTCTGATGCTCTCCTGCAGATGCCATACCAAACAAAACAAAATAGCCCGATTAAGCAGGCCCACAACAAATGCCTGGTTGTGTCAGTGAGCAAATCCGCTAGAGGTCAGCCACTAGTGCAACATTGCTGGCCATGCGACGCGATCCCGCAAGCTCTTCACCATCAGCCCGGGCACAGGCTACTCAATAAAGCGATTTACTTGATCCACTTCCGGGAAACGTTTTTCCTTCATGTACCGCGACCAAGCAATGGAAAGGTCCGATGCACTGAGCAGGGCGACGTGACCTTGTCTGTACAGACGAAAAATGGCACGCGCAAGGGTCTTTCACTACCTACCAAGCGCAAAAAAATCAGTTCGTGTCTTCACATCAACGCAGTTAGCAGAAGTGGCTATATTAGTAATCGCCAATGACTGCAAAACTCCACCGAACAGAGCCCTGCTGTCGATGTGAGATGAGCAAATGGTGTGTCGTAAGAGACCCATTGTGACTCACAGCCCTAAGGCGACCCGCTGTTGGATATGTGCCTGCAAAAAATGGATAAGAAGCCTTTCAAACCTCAGTGAGTTGCCTGCTTCAAAGCTCTTTCAATGAATCGTGTGGACTGATACTGTTTTCCGTGTGTGGCACGGTTGTGTCGTCAAATTGTGACGTACATCGACGAGATCGGTGTACAACTGCAACATCGTCACGTCGACCCATTGCCCCTTTAAGAAATCCTGAAGCTGTTGCCTGAGGCGGCACACATCAAGCCCACAAAGGCACCAGCGAGTGCTGTTTTCCTTGTTTCTAACGAGATGCTGCCCCCTCCCGGCGGTAGCGTACACATGAATCCCCATGATATGTGCGCCTACCGCACATATCATGGGGATTCACGTGTACGTTATCCGGCTGGCGTTTCTCTCACAGCCCCTTAATAACAAAACAAGCAAAACAGCTCCTGAAGTGACAAGATGGCTATCCAATAGATTAAAACAAACTCACCTAAGAACATAACGGCCCTGGACTTGTACTGCATCTTCAGGGTGACCGCTAAGGATATCACGAAAAGCTGCAGAACCCCCAACACAGCAATCAGTTACAGCATGATCCTCCGCTACTGATGCTGTGAAATCTGGATACCTCGTATGATAGCCGAGACGGCCTATCGAGAGCAAAACTTACGTTCCAGATCCGTGTCATCTAACTTAAATGGTGGTTCAAACCTAGGCTCCTTGAGGCACGAGATTAGCGTTGGCACCTGAACGTAGCACCCAAACCAGAGGAGCCCCACAGCAGAGAGAAATTAATACCACTAGAACTCCAACTAGCAAGCCTACTTCTCTGTCGACCCAAATATTCCGTCCCTCCGGGTACCTTGGAAATCTGGAAGTACCCACTTGAAGCGCGTGCCTCCGTTTCAGCTGACGCCCCTTATGATTCCCTTACCCCAGCAATGCGGCGCAAGGACTAAAGCACCTACCTGGAGTGCCTGCTTTTGTCCTATAGAAGCTTTTCGCTCTGGCTTCTGCCAAACCATGTCAGGCTTCGGCACCTCCTGCAGTTTCCCTTCGGCCACCGGAGGCACGGGAACCTCCTGCTGCGGAAACTTGTCTAATCCCACAGGCGAGAGCCCTGCACCTACTGAGGTCTCTTTCTCTGCTGCCCCCTGCTCTAGGGCCTCCTCCAGCCTGCGAAGTGCTTCCTCCAGATCCCCCATTCCCACTGGAGGTGAAGCCATGCCTTCAGGTACCGCCCTGCTTTCAGGTTCCTTCCCCAGCACCTCATTTTCCTGTGACGGTGAAGCCACGTCCTCAGGTGCCTCCGTACTTTCAGTTTCCTTCCTCACCACATCATGATCTGCCTCCTCCAGCTTCAGTGTTTCTTGTGGCGTAGAAGAGGCGTCCTCAGCTGCCTCCTTATCTCCGGACTCCCTCCTCAGAACCTCCTCACCAGACTCCCCCACAATCGGCGTCTCCTGTGGTGTAGACGGCTCTCCGTCCGCTGGAGAAGCACGGGGAAGCACCGCCTCCCTGGAGCCCACAGGTTCATGTTGAGGAACTTGTGTTGGCACGTTCACCTCGTGCCCTGTCGTTTTGATGCCTTCAGAAGAAGCAACATCTAAATCATCTTTCCTTCCTAAGGAAGCAGGTCCATCATCCTCTACATCACTAAGCGTTTCCGATTCCTCCTCAGACTCAGAAAAATCCTCACCTTGACCAGCAATGAACTGGGGAACAAACGCTGGCACCGCAGATACCCCCCGCACCAGTCTTGACCCTTCATGCTTGAGGCCATCTAAAACCAAAATGCACACAAGTGAACAAAACAGGAATGTGCCAGCACGGACGAGACGCTCACACAGTACATATCAGTGGGGAAACGGCTAACCAACACCCGTTAAGGTGCCCCCATGCATTCCTACGCGGTCCCAGTTCCGGTAACAGCACTCACCAAGAAGTTCTGGAGTGATTCCACCAGCTTTTGGAGGCGTTGTCAGCTCGCTCTTTCCTAGCTGAACGTGCGCAATGAGAGCTACCACAACGCATATGGCCAGCACAAGGTTCAACAGCACGCCATTCAACTTTGCTGATCCTCCATCATACTCAGATGAATGAGTAAACGTTGAAGAGTATACCGAAGATGTTTCGAATTCGCTTATTTCCGTTTCCCATTCTTCCCCGCCCATACTTCCTTCATCCACCTCACTGTCTTCTGCCACCGGCGGCAGTCGCTCTTCAGTCATTGTGTCTATATCCCGACACACAGAAAGCTCCGCCTTCCAAGAGTTGAGGGGCGTGCAGTTGCCGCAGCTGCTAGTACGCAGAGGGGAGAAAAACTGGCGAATTACAGAGGTTCCAGCATCTGGCCTGCTGCCAGGTACCTGGATGCCGGCTTGATTGCACCAGGAGGGGAAATGAAGAGATATTCACAAATTTTGGCACAGCTGCTACAGCAGCGCGTAAAGAATTGCAACCGGGAACGTCGGGTGCTGCTAGATTCCGTAGCTTACCAAGCAATTCCCGCAGGACACCAACTGCTCCAGCTGCTCCAGTGAATACGCGTGGGCATGTGAGCAACAGCTGCTCTGTTACACGAATGGTACAAAGCGTGGCAGAGATTTACAGCTGGAGAAATTTAAAGCAGAGAATCCGTGCCTCTTGGGGCATATTGCTGACAAATCCTACCTTGGAGGGGCGACATCCCCCGGAGGCGCCAATGAACGGGTCGGAACCATGGATATATCGATAAGGAAATTCTTAGAGCGTCTCTGCAGAAGAATAAGGGCAATTGCAATGTTGATATTCAACTCGTTGCTATCCACATGCAGTCGATCGCAGGGCCCTGGCTTCCGTTTGTGCCGTACGAGAGGCAGCAGGTCGATGGAAAGCACCTAGAGTAGCTTGCGCATCAACAAGGCCTAATGATAAAAGAAGTGTATGGTATGTATAATATGTCGATATATACAAAGTTGTTATTGCAACCCGCACACAAATTCGCCTGCAAATACTGCCGTTCCCCGCGCAGTTCAGTAGTGGATGCTGGCCGACACCAAACGCACGTGAATGGTATATGCAACGAACTTCGGACAAGCCATCACTATTCCCTTCCTTACATTACCCGAACGGATTGTTTTAATATATTTTTTGGCTAACGGCGCACAATTTTGCGCACGGGGAATCTGCGTTTGTAGACTCGCTGCCGCTCTATCCGTGTGCCGCTTACCGAGATATCGGGACTGTGCGAGGCACCCATATTTTTGTACATAGTAGGTACTGGCAGTGTATTAATATGTGATTCGTGTTTGTGCATACTCCGAGAGTGGGAGTGGAAGTGCTTCCATTCTTTCGTGGGTTTGCGGTGTTTGCAGCTAGGAGCCCGTTATCTCAGAAGTGGGGGTGGTGTGCTGGTGTCCGTTTTGTAAATATAGCTCTAATTGTGCGGATATTAGCACCTTAAGGTCCAGTTAGTGCTTAGCGGCTGTCTACCTCCTTTGTAATGAGAGTCTTCCACACAAGCGGAGGACTATCGAACAGCTACATCTTGATCATCTCCAGCGACTCCTGTAAGCTACAAGCGGGAGGTAAAGCAGCTGATCTCATGCCCGGGTTTACAACTGTCAGAAGCCCAACTCCCCGTTGCTACGGGATAGGAAGCTGTCTGGTGTGAACTGCTGCGCACAGTGATGCACCTTAAGCCCGAAGACAGCGCCACGTGAAAGCGTAAACAGGCATTCGTGGCTGTGTGAATGAGCAGTTTACATAATTGTCAAAGCCTTCTGCTAGATTTACGGTTGCCTACTAGGGCTGGGTAAGTATTCACGCTGCAGCCCCAGGCGAACTCGCCAACATCCGACAGAATATGCCGCAGCTATCAGGAGCCGCAGTCAAAAGTTACGAGTTCGCAGGAAGCAGTTGACATGCGTCTTAGTTGTAAAATCATAAGGGTCTGAAGCTGGATGAGCAGGAAGGCAGCTTCTTTTGAGTTAGAGCATATTCCAAGGTTTCGTTGAAGCTGTTGCACTGACTGCCAGTCTCGTGGAGGCCAACTGCAGTGTCCACAGGAGGTTGGAACACTCTAGATACTTTTTGGAGATGTCTTATTCGGAGTATTTGGACTTTTTGTGGCCTACGACTGTCCTCAGCTAAGGTTGGCGCCTTTTGTTCCACAGCATGTCTTTCTATATTTCCTGCGGCGCGCCAACGAGACACGTAGGCAAACCGAATTATCATTTGGACGACGCATTTAAAAAGACCACAAAATTGGTAAGCTTTTACTTGACCATCAGTAGCTAACTTGTACACAAACTGAAGTGTACTCATCAACACTGAACAGGCAATGCTATTTGCATTTGCGCTCTGCTTCCTCTATGCACACAAGCACAACACACCCTAATGTTCCTGGATATTCCGCAAAAATTTGTATCTAGTGGAGGGACTGAAGGTGCCGGAGGTTACAAAGAATCGAGGAGGGAACATGAAAACAAAAACGATGGGGAAGAGGAAAAGTGTCATTTGCCATATTTGCATCTATATATATGCTGTACCTGACGACCGCATCTCGCTATGGAACGTTCAGACAGTGGCTTGTCCAATGGTGATGCAACAATGTAATTTTGCACAACGGTATGCGAATGTGCCAGCTGTAAGTAACGTTGTGCATCCTCCCTCTGGATGCCAGCGAGTAAAGGGCTGTGAATTGCTTTGGGCAAGCGATCCTGAGAAACCTAGTGAGCATGTTGTTCACCTGGTAATTTAAATTAGTGTCTGTGGCAGTTGCTCATAGTTACAAATGCCGTCACTCGCCTCCACGTTCTCATTTTACACGGTGACTTTGCTGTTTTTTCAGCAGAGGCTTCTGGGTGATTCCTTGAACTGTTCTAGAAAATAGACAGCAACGATATAATAACATCTACATAATTGCACGGGGAAACAAAAGGGTTGACAACTAAGATCGAAAACGGCTCCACCTCAAGCACAGCAAGCTGCAGGGTGTTTGCTGTTCCGTTTACTCCGTGATAGGATAAAGTGAAAAATTTTTCTGCATGAACTGACTAAGCCATCGAACAACCCCTTTGTTATCAAACACGTCAATATTTCCAACGTGTTTCAGGGCTAGAAGATCGGCAGAACCACTCAAATGCCTACAATAAAGCCTGGCTGGGAGCTCCGCTTTACTGCCTACCAGACCGTGTTGACATCATTCATGTATACGGATTCGGTGTTCTTGAGTAGGCCGTGCTTGGTAACGAACAAGTCTTCAGGCTAAATGATTCCACAATGCGTGGGGTAACTTTTGCCGGGAGAACGGGTTGCTGGGCAGATATGAATGCTTCAACTAGATTTCGCATGAGGCTGGTTCGTTCCTTGCTGAAGCCGATAATTATTTGGTGTTTTTCGAGTCCTTCATGTTCTGTAGGAGTGTCATCACTAGCTTCAACTGCTCAGGTGGTTAGTTTTGCATTTGGTGTCAGCGCACGCGCTGCCCCCTGCATTCTTTTCTTCGATGGGTCCAGATTGTTTGCAGTTGCGGTTGTTTGTGTTTGAGTTTTTGCTTTGCTCAGCAGACGCTTGATAACACATAGGCCTTGTTTGAAAACACTGATCCAACACAAAAGTGATGTGACATGGTAATAATGTATCTTCCTGAAGTGAACCTGCTCTTACCTTTGTGATTCTCCCGACCTACGCTTTCCACCAGCAACTGGCAGTTCGCAACTCGAACGAATCGATAGGTTTCACCTCCTCGCCGTCTATCAATGCTCGGCCGTCTTCACATTTTCTCAGTCTTGATGCAGATTGTTCCCTTGTCGACACGTGGAATTACATCACAACGCACCTCTGACAGATTCCATATGCCGGATGTGCTTCAGAAAAGTGGTACTGTGGTTTTGGCATTGCTCCCCTAATCGCTGCTTATCTCAAGTGAGCCTCTGCGCTTCGGGTGGCCAGCGAAACAAACAGAATTGCAGCACATCTCTTTCATACTTTTTGCTGCAAGGCAAATTACCAGGAAGCATACCAACTCTGCCCGTTAATCACCCACTGGTGCTTGGTGAGCCACAAACACATGGGAATGCACCACATCAGACAGGTCATGCTGGGCATCACAGCTTCATTCCTGTAGGATGTCATTCGCTGTGTCCATCGTATCCAAGGAACGTCTAAAACTGCAGTGGATGCAAAGGGACTTGAAACGGTAGTTCTTTAAAAGCAACTGACCTCTCATCTCGGACTCTAGAAGTCCTGCCCACAGCATCCTAAAGGGCCTCTGGCTGCGGAACCGCAGGTGCATGAGAAAGCGCTCTTCGCTGCTACTACAGGTGCAAGACTGCCGCACATGCTAGCAAAAACAAGCCTTTTTTGTTGGATGCACAGCCATGCAAACAGATATTGGATAGTTATACATCCGGGCTGGCTGTGCGTTTGCTTGCCAGTGTGCGTTACAGGAAAAGTTGTTACGGGCTGGTCTAAGTTAAATTCACCCACACAGTGCCTTGAATAGACACTGCTGTGCAGAATTAAGTTGCTGGTATATAGTTCTTGCCATTCCCATTAGGCGCATACTCTGTGAGGCATGCGTTTTTGATTATTGCTACCGAACCATGCAAAACCACACGAAGCCAGTGCAGTTCCCAACGTTCAGCTGCAAACTGCTACGCAAGCCAATGAGTCCTGATCCACCTCACGCCCTTAATTACAATTGATCTACATATAGAAAATTAGGAAGACACTAAATTGGGTTAGGGAAGCAGTGCAAGACGAAGTGCTAACGCCTAATGAGACCGTGAAGTGGACGGGCTGTCTCTGCAGAAGCTGCCGAGCGGCTTCCTGTTGATCTCCTTAGTTTAGAACCAATCCTCTGTGGAAGTGAAATGCCCTATACAGGTGTTACTAGAATAATAAAGGCGACTGTCAATAGTCTATTTTGAAGGGCCGTAGGCCGCCCTACATGACAGAAGCTGGACTCCAGGCCCATAGCACCTGCTCTGCGCAGCTCGCCTGATTTGCATGTTTCTGCGTTGTTGAATATCTATGAAACGGTGGTCAGTCAGGGATGAGCTGTAGGGCTTTAACAGTCCTAGCGGTTTTTTACCACTCGTTTGACGAAATCTTTTCAATTGCGGTGTGCCGGCCGGAGTGGAGCGCCTTGTTTCTCTGTGCTTGCGGACGTTTCGGCGGCGGCGTCTTCGTCTTTTTAGCTTGACGGATTCGATGGCAAATCAGATACCTTATCCCTGCCCTCCCCAGAGGCGACAAGCACTTCGCGCAATTGTGCGCCTGCCTCCCGCGGCTCCGTGAAGATCGTGTCGACCTCTCGCTAAACCATTGCCGTTCTTGCTTTCGGAACCCCCTGTTGATCTTACATAAGACTTGGAAGGCACTTTGCACCCCTGCAAAGCTCTGGCGGTCAACGGTGCAGGCTGGGGCGTCGCGGGTTCGTGGGTGAAGACTTCTCCATCGCTAGGTTGCTTTCTGGAGAGCTAGCTACCTAATATCTCAGGGGACAAACGGAACCAGGACATAAACGCAGTCAAAAATGGACGATAATCTCCTTGAGGAGGAGGTGGCTCTACTTCAGCTGACGCCTGAAGTGCTTGCAGCTCTCTCCCGGTCTCTTGAGGACTCTTCAACGAGTTCTTCGTTGAATTCTTTGGCAGAACATGTCTTGTATGGCGATGCAATATGCCGTCAGCAAGTTGATATCGTGCGTCTGCAGCGAGAGCTTGACGAAGCCCCTTTAGAGGCCTCGTGCAAGAGAGATAGTTCTTTAGCAGTGCCCTTTTTGAGAAGGCTTCACTGGGCGCGGCTGCTGCGGCTTTTGAGTGGAGAGACACTCGAAGGGTGGGCTCTGCAGGTGAAGGAGCAGCGCGACCGCTACCGCTCCCTCCGGCAGCAGCAACAGCTTACAGCTAGCCAGCTAGCCACCCTAGACCCGCAGCGGTTCCACCCATTGGCGGCCACAGCAGGCAATCCATGGAGCCAACGACAGGCGGATGAAGAGCTGCAAGAGGAGATATGGAGAGATATTGAGCGAACGTATCCTGAACGGCAACTGTTCAACAGAGAGGGAACTCGGCGGTCGCTGCAGAGGGTGCTCTTCACGTGGGCGAAGGGCAACCCCGACGTGTCTTACAAACAAGGCATGAATGAAATTTTGGCGGTGTTGTACCTTGCATGCGCTCGCGAAGCCGTGCCTTCTCCTCCTGCGGATGCGCCTTTGTCTCCCTTCTCGATAATATTTTCAGCAGACCCTGCGGACTTAGAAGCCGATGCATTTTGCCTTTTTGATGGGCTCATGACTGGTTGCTGCATGCGCTACATGTACCTACCTCCCCAGAAAGAACCGCCGGCCGCTCCTCTCAAGGGCAGCCATATCGGCCATCTCTTGGGTTCCCCGCAACCCCCCAGAGCGCCTGCAACTTCTGCAGTGTTGCACAGGTGCAATATGGTGTTTGACGATGCTCTGTGTAAGTCGGATCGTGATGTATACTTGCATCTGAATGAACTTGGCGTTGAGCCCCAGCTTTTCTTGCTGCGGTGGCTGCGACTACTGTTTTCTCGCGAGTTCCACATTGAAGATACATTGCTGATTTGGGATGCTCTCTTGGCTGACGCATGGCTCGCTACTGAGCCAAACGTACCAGCAGGAGGCGCTCGAGGAGCAGCTGAAGCAACAGGGGCAGGATCAGCACTCGCGACAGCACCAGCCCCCTCAGCAGCAGCAACAGCAACTGCAACACCAGGAACCGCTGGAACAGTAGGAGCGTGTACGCCTGAGGAGTGTGCCTCTGCAGCTGCAAAGAAGCTCCCTCTTGTTGACTACTTCGCCATTGCAATGCTGAAGTTCATTCGCCAACAGTTGCTGGAAAGTGACTACAGCAACTGTCTCCGGCGTCTGCTTAAGTACCCCCCTATTGAATCTGTGCAGTGCTTAGTGGCCCTATCGCTTGCTGTTCGGAAGGGAACTACCCTGAGCACTGCTTCAGCTGCTGCTACACCCAACAGCACCAACCGCCGCCGCGATAACAGTAGCAATGGCATCAACAACCATAGCAGCATGGACAGGAGCAACAGCAGGACGGCCAACGCCAGTCCTGCTGTTCAGGGGCCAATCAGAAGTCCCCCAGGCCATCCAAGGTTTATTCAGCAGCCGCCGCCTCTCACACCAACAATCGTCAGCAACCCACAGTTGCAGCACGACGAAACTTCTAACCAGCAGGATTGGCACAAGGAGAGCGCCTTCACGAGGGGTACAGCAACAGCTGCTGCATTCGACACGCCGTAAGCCGCATGAGGAGTGCTAACAAATGCTGCGATAGCCTTGTCGCTCGTAGCGAAGCATTCAAACCGGTGACAAATACTGTTGGTGCTGCTGCTTGTGCCGTTGTTCCTGCAGGGGGGAGGCGTCGACAGCCGGCCTACTTGGAAGTCACATCGATGCGATGCGCCAGGCGCTTACCTCTGTGGCTGAGGGATGCAATGAGTAAGCTGGAATTGACATTTATCTTGGTGACCTGCTGAGTTGCTGAGGTTCATGTGGCGATGATGCTGCTATACTGGCCTTTTGGTGTTGTTCCTGCTGCTGTGCAGCGTCTTAGGGAATTACGTCGGGTCCTATTTATACGGGTGATGTTCACAGCCTTCCCCCATCGGTGACGGACGTGCTGCTTTGCGTCGCTAGAGATCTAGGCGCCCTGAAGTCGGTTTTGCACGGGGCCCCGTACTGCGCCTCCATTTTCAAGTTGACCCCTGTTGGGCCTCCTAGGGCTTCACTTGCGCTTCCGCATAGAGCGCCTCTTCACAGCTCTGCATCTGACACTTTAGAGGAGGGCTCTGGGAATCAGAGATGCCGCCTTTTCGACTGACGGTAGTTGCCGGCCCGGCAACTCTTTGATATATAGATATTTGAGGCAGTCCCGGGGTAGCCGCTGCGGTGCTGTCCGTGAATTGCCTGGTACATGCCATCAGTCTTTTCCCCCGTAGTGTTCGACAGTGTGTCTTGATGTTGCAGCACTCGTGTGCAACTGCTGCTGCAGCAGAGGAAGCGCACTTTCAGATCTTGCGCGCGTTGGTTCTCAGCTGCCCCGCCCTGCACGTCTGCATGCCTATAGCAACTTCATTGGTATTAGGCGGTTAGTGTCATACATAAGGACAGGGGGCAAACCTGAATCCGGGAGACCAACTTGAAGCTGCCAGCTTTGCATGTAGAACTACCATGTAAGCTCCCTTGCGCACCTCCAGAGAGGTCTGAACACCTGGCAAAATTAGCAAGCCTACGCGCCCACTCTAAATGTAGGATTGACGGTTTAGGGCATCGGGCAGTGGTCCTTTAAAAAATAAAACCAGCAGAGCAGCTCCCCCCCACTTTGAAATGAAGAGAGGGAGCTTAAGCCGTCTCAACATGACAGTTCGGGCCTGACGCCTATCCACAGCGAGCGTACAGCAAACCCTGTGTGTATCTAATGCCACTCGGCAAGCCCTCATCACCACTGGCCTCCGGGCTAGGAGGTAGCGAAGACTATGCTGCTGTTGCTGCTCCTGCTAGTGCTTTGGAGGCCCGAGCTTCACTGTGTCTTCCTGTAGAAGGGCGTTTTCGTGTAGTCCACTGGTCCGTCAAGGCTGGCGAGGGAGACTTTGCGTAACCGGTGGTCTTTACAGTTGTCCGTAGGCCTGTCGCCCTCATGGGCTACATAGAGTATGACATATGGGAAGCCGAGCGGTCCCGTCCCTGCCCACCAGCTGATCAGGCTCAGTCTCTCGGGGCTGCAGCTGCAGGGGATGTGCAGCGTTTCGAGGCGCAAGTTGGGTCCCCCGTTGGGATCTCGCGCCTCCACGACTGCCGTACGTGCAGAGGCCGCGAACGTCAGATTCTCGAGCTCCACCGGGTAAAAAACTTCCATACCATAGAGACATTTCCCAAGGTGCTTCAGTTTGCCTAGCCCAAAGCTTGCGACGATTGGAGTGACTGGTGGAGGAGACCGAGAAGGCAGGAAAGTTGCAGTCGCATCGGGCGTCAACTGGACAACAATTTGGCTGACCCTATCTAGGTCTCCCACTGCAGCTGACCCGGAAACGGGGTCTCCAGGACGGTAAATGCACTTCTCCGGCACTGCTACGGGGAACTCGTAAAAGTCGAGCGGCATATTGAAGGCGTAACGAAAGTATCGATAAAGCCGGCTAATGAACCCGCTGGGAGGGGGTTCAACCTTTTCGGAAAGCGCTCGAATTACCAGAGTCTTTTGACCCTCTATAAAGACGCCCCAGTTACCGCGCAACAAATATATATTCTCCCCACCAGATATAGCAGAGACTGGAATCACAAGTCGGCACCGCTGGCGGTCAGCCGAACTCGGCACCTCAACGTCCACGATTTCAGTGGGGTACTTCAGATTTAGGCGGATACTTCCAGTGGTGGTTGTAGTGATGGGGGTGGGGGTGGTAGTGGTAGTGGTAGCTGTAGCAGTGAAAGTAGTATTAGTATTCGTATTAGTATTAGTTTTATTATTATTATTATTATTAGTATTAGTTTTAGTATTAGTATTAGTACTAGTACTAGTATTAGTATTAGTATTAGTATTAGTATTAGTATTAGTATTAGTATTAGTATTAGTATTAGTATTAGTATAACTATTACTACTACCATTACTATTACTACTACTATTAGTATTTGTATTAGTACTAGTATTAGTGTTAATAGTAGGAGTAGGAGTACTAGTGGTACTGGTAGTAGTAATATTAGTATTAGTACTAGTATTAGTATTAGTATTAGTATTAGTATTAGTATTAGTATTAGTATTAGTATTAGTATTAGTATTAGTACTAGTACTAGTATTAGTATTAGTATTAGTATTCGTATTAGTATTCGTATTCGTATTAGTATTAGTATTAGTGTTAGTGTTAGTAGTAGTAGTAGTAGTAGTAGGAGTGGTAGTAGTAGTAGTAGTACTAGTAGTAGTACTAGTACTAGTACTAGTGTTCCCACTACTACTAGTACTTTGACCAGTACTAGTACTAATAATTGTGGGAATTGTAGTAGTGGGAATACTCGTAGTAGTAGTGGTATTAGTCATAGTAGTTGAGGTACTGCTAGTGGTTGTTGTAACGACGTCGCTGAGCCAAAGATCTGCAGGCAGCAATAAGTCGCCGCCTCCCCACAGACTGGGGGGTTTTAAAAAGACCGACGTGCTCTGGAAGTCTTCGATAATGGGGCTGAAGCGATTCGACGCGGCGGCGGCCGTGGACGCTGTGTAGCCCTTGCTTTTGTTACGCATGTGTTCAGGTCCATCTTCATCAATATCATCCTCGAACTGAAGTTCCAACAAGCTGTGTATACTCTCCCTCCTCGATTCGTCCTCCTCGTCCACCGCTTCAGAATTCCGTGTGAATGTCTGGTAGGTGCCAGAGAGAAAAGCATCTGATTCACGAGGGTCTGAAGATCCCTCAGTCCACTGGTCGGTCCACAAATCAGTAAGCTCAGAAGATGCGACCTCAGGAACCCAAGGAAGCAGTCCAAGGCAAAATGGCAGGAGAGCGGCTACGCATGGGCCTCGCCGATACGCAAAATTCAGTAGGCCTGCCATCTCAGTTGGACGGAGAACTAGCAAACAAACACACGGAAGATCAAGAAAGTATACTGAAGATCGACCTCCCTTGCTACCGCTGTCTCACAATTTGATTGGATCAACAGGAGGGGGGTCGCACAGGTGCTAGACTCAAACCCCTCTTTTAAGTCATAGCAACTCAGCCAATCATTCTTGAAAAACAAACCGAATGTATTGCAAAAGCCAAAAAAAACTTATCTGTTGGCTGAAGGAGTGGTGGACAACAGCATCATATCTACAACCTGTGGCTTTCGGGCCGAGCAGGCGGGGCCCTGTTAAGACGAGCAAGGCGTTCACCGAAGTCTCTATGCCACCATACAACAACAATAACCCTGTTTGATTAAGATAAAGCAATTGGAAGCAACATAAACGAAGAAAGCAGCACGGAACTGGCCTTCATCCTTCCCTTTCACCCGAGTTCCCCGTACCTATGAGGCACCATCTAGGGGTCCAGTGGTATCTCCGGCATTGGGCGCCCACATACACTGTAATCCCTGTCATCATAGCATAATTATCTAGTCAGGGCATATAGTAATTGTACATTTTAGTAGAGTATCCACTGATTCCACTCCAGTTAGCGATGACATAATGCACCAGGGGACACGTAACCCCCGTGGGTGCTCGTTGATCACAGTGGCTCTGCATTTGCGCATGTAACGAAGCCTACACCAGCCTCGCGCAGGCAATTTGGGTGAACAGTCTGGGGGCAAAGTATATCGTAATTATGGGATTACAGATTTTTCTTGAGCACGTGGCTGAGAGGGGCTGTGGAGCGCCCATTGTGGAGGTGGGCTGCTCTGGGGGTTATTCAGGTAATTAGCATGTCTTTTTCCACTACTCCAGTCTTTTACTTCTTCCATAAAACGAAGGGGAAGTGATTGCTTTAAATTGCACTGCAGGCAACAATAAGCATGCAGCAGCTGACGTGGACACTTCACGGTGTAACTAGCTGGGTAAAAGCGCCGAGGCCTGCTGGGTGGTTATAGATTCACAAGTGACTGGAACGTTGTTTCTTGGTCAGTGTTTGGTGAGTGGACAAACTGGGCAGCAGCGGTGCGTTGGTGTGACACTATTTTGATATATTTATGTGGATGTATCTGGATTGCAGCACACGGCAGGATGTGCTCAATCAGAACTGTTTATGCTGCTTTCCTGCTGTAGATCCTATAAGCTTATAAGGATACGATCTTCTTCGTGTTTTTTCTCAGAAGGCGATTCCATGCGGCTACGTGCATATAAGCGCCTATTATTGTGCTGAGGGGTTGTGCTGAACAACCTGTGTTCCGTGTTCTAGTCATCCGTAGAGTCAGGACGGTAGAGTCAGGAACGCTGAGGAAGGGCAAAAAGCTCTCAACAAGTGCAATTATTATTTGAAGATGCAGTAGGGGGCACCAACAAGAGGAAAGAAGGCATTTTGGTTACGGGATTCTGCTCATTCCCAGGAAAATAAGTTTCAGAATGGCCCTAGCGCTTGAATGCATTCCTGTGTTGAAGGTAGGAGCGACGGTACAGAGGCAGCACGTGCGCTCCCATGCATTCTAAGTACGAGGAAGAGATGCATGAAGCACAAGACCTGCACACCTTGAGCTTGTTGGACCCATCGCTCATGTGTGGAATCAGACGATAATAACAAGATAGACGCTACAAAGTAGCCTACGGCTACTTTGTAGCGCCTATCTCAGTGCTATCAAGTGCATCCGTTCGGTTGCTCACTTTTGCCCTCCTTCCTTCCACTACGTGGCCGGTGGTTACCCAGTTCAAAATTGTTACAATGAAAAATTCACGTGGGTGGAGGCCTGGCGCTCTTCCTGCCTCTCCCCCGGCGCTCCCCCCTTCTCGAGCCGCTTATCTGGCTGCGCTGCACATCAATTAAGTTCATTGTTTGGAAGTTATGGAACCGGTGCCTATTGTAACAAAGCCCCTTACGACGCTTCGCAGCTTTTTAAAGGTTACCCCATTGACCCGCGCGCTATTGGCGTCGTTTCTTGATTTCAATATGCTCAGATAGATCTGCTGTTACTGCCGCAGCTGTGGATGCTGCATCAGTTCCTGCGGATGCTGTCATTACAGCCGCCCGTTTGCGCGGTTGTACGGAAGTGCTATGTTGCACTTTCACAGAGCCTGTTACTGCTGCTGCCGTCGGTTCTTGTACTCGTGTTCTTGTTCCTGGAAGAGCTACGCTACCCGCTTCAAAAATGCTGCCGCTTCATCCACTGGCTCCTATTTCTGTTTCACGAAAAAGCTATGGGGGTGCACTAATCACTAAGACTGGGGCTTCGTTTTTTCGCGCAGCTCCAGACAGGCCAAATTAGTAGCAGTCGGACAGTTCTAGACAGAGCGGTACACGTGAAGTCGGAGGAGTCAACAGCTAGGTTGCCGTTTCAGTGGACCCCCCCCTTCTCCCCTATTCGAATGGGTGCAGAGGCTCTCACTACGTGTGTCTAAGTCTTTACTCATGCCCTGAACTGACGTGGGGTCCAGCGCCATCTCCGGAAGCCTCCGTTGAACCAGACAGCACGGCGTTCGATGGCTTGGCGCGTAGATACCCTCTACTCCCCCCCTTCCCAACCAACATCCGCCCCCTTTCCCCCCTTCCCCGAAAAGGGGACCGAGGGGAGCTAAAGACGGCGCAACACAAATAAATCAACAAGGGAGTTAGGCAAAGAAAGAGAAACACAGCCAACTGACAGTGGAGGCAATGGAGGCGGGGCCAGGGTGAGACAGGGGATTGACAAGGCGAAGACACAGAACTACGAAGACGCGAAAGAAATAGACCAACCGGATACACAACGAAGCTACATACACCCTCGATTAACAAAAACATAGGTGAGGAAGAAAAGAAACTCTGCTCCCCCGTAGCTCCTCGAACGTCTCCTTAAGAGAGGAATACACTTAAACTCTGCTACAGTGCTGCGGGGAGTCCACAGTCAACCCCATGTTTCGGGCTCAATGGTGGCCAGGGGAGGCCCACAGATGCCCAGTGCTGGCGTTCCATAAATACACAGACAGCCACTGTTTCTTGCAACAGGAGCTGGCTCTCCACAGCAGCATCGATGAGGCAGCTGCATGCAGGAAGCCAGCTTGTTGCATCACGCCGCCGGGCTGACGCACTGAAATCATCTGTAGGGACCACGTGTGCCGCGTGGGCCTTCGACTAAATAGCGAAGACTGAACCGAATCCCACGGAACCAAGGTGGATTGCCAGATCACTGAATCCCGCTGAACCAGGCCCCCTTTCACGCTAGTTTACCTCCGCCAGTGCTCCTGTGCTTCTCCTGCAGTAGCCGCTACTGTCCCTCCAGCGCACCCGCTATTGTAGGGGGCGTTCGTGAGGCGAATACGCTGGCGGCAACCTATGAGGCCAAGTGCTTTCTGCGATCTACCCCTCCACACGCAATCCCTGGGGTAAAGCCGGGGAGAAGACGCGCGAAATGCCTGACAATGCATCTGAAAACAGCACGTGCCAGGCAATATACAGGCACCTGACTCCCGGATATTGGGGCGTACTTCATGACTAGTGTCGCGTGCTTTTTCTTCAGCTCCCTTTTGATGCAGCGCTCCCGGCATCACAAAGGTACAGATATGGTGCCGCGCCACGTACGGCATCAGCAAAGGCTGCGGAAACTCCTCTGATCGCACCGCCAAACCCAACAGCAGCATCCGACTTCCGCGCTGCGTCACTAGAGACTTCGGTAACCGCATCGGCACTAGGTGTCTGAGCACGTACATGCATGCACACACGGTACAGTTTGCTGCAGCAGCTCCAGCATCAGCTTATAGATCAACCTCCGAATCATTATTAGACTCATCTCCTGAAGAATCATAATCTATTTCTTCACCACCAGATCCTCCTGCTCCAGCCGGTGATGCTCCTGCTCCAGCACCAGAGTCTCCACTTCCATCATCTGATCCTCTTCCCTCTTTACTTACAACCGTCTCTCCATCAGCAGATTCGGCTTCTTCACCACCAGATCCTCCTGTTTCATCATCCGATTTTGTTGCTCCATCATCAGACCCTGCTGCTCCAGCACCAGAACCCTCTCCTCCAACA